CTTAAATCTGCGACTTAGCTCACTGTTGTTCTGCTCGGATAAGTTGCTGTTAATAATTAGACACGATGTGCTTCGAGGGTGTCATCACCTGGCCTCTCATTCCCAGAGCACGGGATTACACGTGTAGCAATGCGCCTCTACCGTGCCGGTCACTGCTTGAGACTGCACGATACGCTGTCGTCTGCCGCCCGACCCGGTGATCGATATCCTGGCCGGGTGGAGCCTCGTTGTAACGTTCAGCGTTACAACGTGAACCTCCATTGTCGTGCATTGCCATGCTCCTCCACCGTGCCGGTCACTGCTTGAGACTGTACGATCCTGTCATCTGCTGCCCGCCCTGATGATGAAATGACGACCTAACCATGACCTCAACTTTACATGAATATTACCATTCAGAGACTTACCGTTTTGCAGAAATTTTCATGCACATGAATGACCTTGACCTGTTTGTAATTTCGAAACCCTCTGTTCGTCGCCGTGTCATGAATTTGACCTAACGTAACATAACCTAAAATCTAATATATCCAAAGATAACGCAATGTAACGTAACCTAACCTAACCCAACTCAACCTGACCTGATCTAACCTAACCCAACTTGACATAAAGCAATACAACCATACTTAATCTAACCCTGACTAAACTGTCCTTGAAATTTGCTTGGCGTGGTTTTCTGTAACTTTCGCTTGCCCATGTTATGAACTTACCTTTGAATGAGCTTTACACGACCACAGTTTAATGTTCAAGACTTTCACCTGTCCCAGGGAGACATTCGACATTATTTTACCTGACCTTGAAAATTGAAATGCCTCTATTTAACGCAGTCTTGTCCTGACCTTGGCACGACCATGACCTAAACGTGGTCTCAGATACAGAGCAAATTAAAAAATTACGGAATCTGTTCATGTTTCCTATGAAGAACTGTTTTGATTTCCAGTGTCTCAAATTTTCTGAACGTAACCTGAAGTGTATCAGTGCTTATTATTTTAAAATACAACATTTTTCAGTATCTTTCTGTCGCCACAACAAAGTGATTGATCAGTCGACATCATGAAACAGAAATGAGATACAGATTTATGTAATTACTCTGTTATTTTACTCTCCCCATTAAAATTACACTCACAGAAACTGAAAACTTTAATATTATCCATCACCAACAACAGGACATTATATTTTCAGTGGTGCTAGCGTTGTTTGCACAAATCTGCATTTTTTATTGCTGATGCAAGGGGTTTGTAAATGAATTACATTTATATGACATTTCATGAAAATCACCCAACTGGTTCTTTCTTAGTTTATATATAGCAGTGATCAGTTGTTACCAGAGGTGCGGTCAGATATATGCGATAGGACACGTCATTTATTTTATTCTTGGCAGTATATGTATTTTAAAAGTACGAATACATATCACGGTTGGAACCCTGGACAGAAAAGCATGTTCAAGTAGGACTGCTGTCTTCCGAGTCATTCTTAACTCGTAATCTGTGATCGTTTGCGTGTCTTACAATTATCTATTGGTGCAAAGTATCTGCAGAGGGCAGGCAGTGGGGAGACGGATACAGTAAAGAGGAAGCTGAGGAATTATAATAAAATTAAAAAGATGACATAATTACAAATGTCTAATCCACAACGAAGATATTGTGAAGAATCTGATTCAGATTTAATGTAATGAACATTTGGGTGCCAAAGAAAAAAAAAAATCAGAAAACATTTTGTACTGATTTTGTCATCATACCAAAACAACTACGTACATTCACAACAGAAAATAAGTAACTTGCGGCATCTCTCACTTATAGTGGAGGGAGCAGGGCAGATTCCACAGATAAATACAACCAGTTCTCTTTAGAAGATGTGCTGAGAGACTACACACGTCTTTGTGTAACAAAATGAGAAACGTTTTCTTCTGGTAGACACTTCTCGGAATGAAGATGCTGAAGACGTCTTGCACACACGCGCGCACACACATACTACTATTCTCGATGCACCAACACATACATTCCAAGGCAAGCCAGAACGGCATACTGCAAAAACAAAATTCAAATGAAATTGTCTTGTGAAATATATTGTAGTACTGTAAAAAATTTGTAATCCTATAATCATTATAATAAATTTGTTTCTTTATAGCATTTCAACCAATATTAATCTTCCATCATGGCTCAAGAAACTAGTGAAGTGTTACGTATGGAGTGTCGCGCTGTATGGAGCAGAGACTTGGACACTCAGGAAGAAGGAACAGAAATACCTGGAGAGTTTTGAAATGTGGTGTTGGAGAAGAATAGAGAAGATCAGGTGGACGGATCGAGGGACCAACGAAGAAGTATTGAGGAGAGTCAACGAGCAAAGAAACATTCTGCAGGCGATTACACGAAGGAAAGCCAACTGGCTGGGACATATTATGAGAAGGAAGGGGTTACTGAGTGACATCATCGAAGGCCAGGTTGAAGGAAAGAGAGGACTAGGAAGAAGATTGATACAGCTAACCGACGACCTTAAACAAGGAAAGAAGATGACGTTCCAGGAATTAAAACGAGAAGCCGAGAATAGGGACAACTGGAGAGCTCTTTTTGGGCAGAGCAATGGACCTGTCGTCAGACAGAACACTAAATAATAATAACATGGCTCAAATATCAGCTTGATTCAATTTAAAATTGAGGGTCTAAATTTTCCTGGTGATTTGTTGAAATATCACAATTCTATTTAAGGCTGATGACACTAATATATATCACTACCTCAGCATGATGTACTAAACTCTTAACTTGTAACCATACGTAAAATAAATGATTAAACCAAGATCACCTCTCCATTCCTAACACCAGTAAACACTTACAACAGCAAAGTATAAAAGTATTTTTCTTTATCAATATATCAGTTCCTTTTATAAAAAAAAAGATACATCAAGCCTACTGTTGCGCATTGTACATTATCGTGTGGTTTTCGACTTACTTTAAATTTGGGGTATTCATTCATGTAGATGGTGACCATACCAACATAAGGTAGGAACCCTCTTGCACGTCCCACGACATCCTTCTTGGTGAGCCACAGCTGTCCAGGGGCATACAGTCCCCGATCATCAACACTGTTGTTGTCGCCCTTGGTCAGGAACTTTACTGCTCCGGTCTCCCTGGAAGAGGTATTCATAATTTTAAATGAAAATATGGGTTTCTCTATACAGTCTGAGCTATTGACGACACATGCTGACGAGTTAGCACCTTGTAAATCACATATCTGGATCATGATAATGTAACTGCACGGCAGCGTTCAGAACACAATTCTGTGGTTGCATCAGTCAAATAATATGAGGGTTACATGCAGCATAATTAAACTTACTTTTCATGGAGTTTGAGGACTCGATGTACAATAGGGATGTCTCGTCCTTCCACTTTGAACACGACAATCTCACCAACCCTTATTGGCTCCTCTTTATAGTTTGTTAGAAACAGCAAATCTCCACGATGAAATGCTGGTTCCATACTCCCACTATATGAACGAGAGACTCAAAATAGACCTTAGCAATATTTTATTGAAACAGTAAATTACAATATAATCTTGAAGCTTACACTTTATACTTATAAAATTTTTAAATATGGTAAATGTAATTTCACTTTTAATTTTATAGTCATTATCAACAACAACACTTAATATAGTAAAAATACTTTAATAATGCATACAAACCTTAGTACAACAACAATTGGGCTTTCACTTCCTGTTACAACCATAAGGCCCTTCCATATCATTAATGCTGATGAAACTATCATTCCAAAGCTCAGAACCTGATACAGGAACTGAAAATGAGAAGTAGCCATTACATTAACAAATACATGTGTGTTATTTTCAGTCTGATTGGTATGATAGCACAATCTACACACAAATATATTTTATTCTAATAAGAATTAAAAGTGATTATGCACTGTTATGCCAATGGGGTGGGATCATGTCTCTGTGGTACAGAGGCTGCTAATGGGAGCATTCTCCATCCCACAGAAGAAGCAGTGGTGGAATGATATGGCAAGGGAAAATGAAAGGGCTTACAGAGAAACCTACCCATTGCCATTTTGTTTACCAGAAATCTTACATGGACTGCCCATGCACAAACTGAAGTCTGAGGATACAACTGGCAACCAACAGCCCTTGCTATGGTATGGCCCTACGTAATTATACAATAAATTGCAAGAGAAAAATAAAAATTCTAGAAACATGTTTTGACTGGAGTAGTTTCATGGCCCCAAAAAACCAAGAGTATGAAAGACTGTAGAATGCATGAAGTAAAGATATTTAATTATATAAAACTGGGAGGGGGGGAAGCTTCACCGCAACGAAAGCACCGGCAGGCGTGATGCCGACAACTCACCCCCATATATCAAGGTCAAGAGCCAACAGGGGCTATAACACCTATCCACCTTCCGTGGCGTAGAGACATAGCTTTGCTTTACTTTACTTAGCGTATAATTACCGTTAATTTATAAGAGAATAAAATTTTGTTATGCAAACGATGTCTTCGTACTAACAAAAATACCATCGAGAAGTCACTGCAACAGGAACATTCGATATATTCTATGCACTATAACCATATGCCTGTCAAAACATCCACAATGAGTTAAATAATTATACCTGGCGTTTGTTCATCCGCTGCACATCATCAAAGATATTTTCAAACATATTGACAGCTACTGGTACCTGAATACTTTATAACGTATTTCTATTACACCTACAATACAACACAAACCCGTCACGTCCACGTCATTCACAAAACCTAATCGCAGCCGACATACGGATATACGATTCCATTTGTTTTTACCTTGTTCTTGACTACTTCGCGCAACTAGCAGGGGCACCAATTGACAGGAAATTAATTTCTAAGTGGCTATAGAATTGAAGGCATATAATGATAGCATAATAACGTATCGAGTTCATTACGCAAAATCACCTACTAATGCAACTGTGTAAAGTTTTTGTCGTTTACGTAATGTGCATATTTTATTATATTCAGAAGTTTTTCAGTACAGGCACAGATGTGATATGTTGAACAGTTTTCACATATACCAACGCTCTGTATGTACCTTCGTAACGTTGGTCACGTACAAGGCACACGGTGATACTAGCCAGAGTACCAACATCGACATTACGTTCATTTTGTATCATTGAATGACATTCCTTGAACTCCAGTTTCTTTAATTTCTACATAGCTTTGAACGTCATACGAGTATAAAGTTTGCATAATATAATCATAGTATAGGGAGACGTATTCAAGTAGATAAATATAGTTTCCAACAAGACTATTGTCATCGAAAGTATCTTGTGAAAATATTGGATGTAGAACCGCGATAACTCAACAGGAAACCAATTATTTTAATTAGTGCTCTCATATTCAAAATTTGAATTGTTAAACTCGAATGTAGGTACTAGTGCATACATTTTCCAATTATTTGTACTAATTTGCAGGTTCGGGCTATTGGCATTTGTGATCCATCAGTAATGCCAACACATTCATTAGAAATGCTCTTTGAATTGTGAAAGGAGCGATCAAAGGGAAGGCAGTAGTAGTGTGCATTGATTTATGTATAACAATTTACAATACACGTCGCTGATGGATGTGATTTATATCCATTAGAACATATATTTGAAAGAAGTTTAGTAATTCAGGGTTGAGTTAATTTGAGTCCATTGGTTTCGCTGTGACAGGCTGAAGTAAGGTTATCTGCATGCTTCGGAATTTCTATTCATTTATTACAGTTCGTAAATTTATAGGTTGCAGTGATAAATATGTTTCGGTCTTTATTGGGTATTATTTTATGGTATTTAAGGCCTCTAATGAAGTGGTTTTTGAGAAAAACGACAAGATTGTGTGAGCTGCAGAGACTATGTTATGGTGAAAAAGCTGGTGCTCCTAGATCTCTTCGCGTCGAGAATTCGCTTCTTCAGTCCAGGTCTGGTGATATAAAGAACCTCATCGTGTTTTTGGATAGAATCAGTGATGGCAGGAAGTTCATAGGCACGAACAAAGATAGTATAACTCATTATGCCATCCACACTGTGTTGAGGGTAAAAAAGATAAATCCACAAATCCATCCCCAGTTTGGGATATCTTTCGCAAAGTGCATTGAACATATATGGGGATATCGTCAGTTGATTCAAGAAGTGGAAGTGCTTCGTACTACTCCGTATGATGCCAACAACGAAAGTCATGAAACTAAATTGTTGACCTTATGGGAACTTATGATGCCATCAGTTCAGCTTGAATCAAGAGTCACCAAACAGTGGCAAGACATTGGTTTTCAAGGTGATGATCCAAAAACAGACTTCAGGGGTATGGGACTTCTGGGACTGGAGAATCTGTTGTATTTTGCACAAGAATATCCTGGTCCTGCCAGTCATGTGCTCTCACATTCTCATCATCCTCAGTATGGCTATGCATTTGCAGTAGTGGGCATAAATCTAACCAGCATGGCATATCATATGCTGAAGGATGGGTCTGCAAAATCTCATGTTTACAATGTTTCACAAGGGCTACCAACTATAAAAGTTTTCCACCACTTTTATTGTTACTTGTTCTATGAGTTTGACAGATTTTGGATTGAAGCAAAGCCTCGTAATGTAATGGATTTTTCACATATAAGAGAGAAATTTGAAAATACTATTCGTTTGTCACTTTCTAAACCTGCGTCCGTATTTAGGATAAATATATCCATTGATAATATATAAACATTTCAGTGCAATTGGTGTTTTTTGTGATCTTACAGTATTTTACACACACACTGGGCACTGGATATTGGATCAGGGCTGCCTACATAAAGGTACCCAGATGTGTCTTATTTGTTTCGTGGATATTGGATCAGGGCTGCCTACATAGAGGTACCCAGATGTGTCTTATCTGTTTCACAGTTGTATTATTATTTATTGTGTTTGAATATACACTGGGACCAACATTTCAATTGTTGCTAATGCTGTTGCATATTCAAATTTGAAAGGTGTCTGTATGTTTGGTGGATTTAGATTTTATTTATATGTCAAGAAATATCAATCTCTGACCTATATCTGAGGAAGAACGTGTTAATGGAGTTGAAGCTCGTAAATATTTCACTGTTGCGTAGTATCTTTTGGAAACGTTTAATTCCACGTAAGAACGCTACAAGCAGAAAGTATGCCCTGGTACATTTTAGCAATGCTGCAGAATATGGCTTCAATTTTTAAGGACTGTTTTCCACTCGTCAGCGTGTGTCGTCCATTTCTTTTGTAAAATCTAATTGTATATGATAGAAGTCAAAACAGATGGTTAAAAACTGGCCAAAGTGTGTAGAATTATTGATGTCATGCATGTTAAAGTTCACCGTTACAAATAGAGTGTCTTTCTGAAGCTCACATGTATTGCTTATTGTGATGGAGGTGTGTATGAGCCATTTTATCTCATAATTTATGTACACCTGAGCTTGTAATTAGATTTAATGTTGGCGGCTGTTCTTTCAGTTTTTCTGCCAGCACATAGTGACTTACTAATTAGCGTAAGTGTTCAAAACTTATGTTGTAATATGTTTCCAATACCTGAAAGTTGTTATATGTAACCTAAATATGATGAATAGCAGCACATTATTATGTGTGTCCTACTAATAAAGCCTACCTCAAGCATGTGCGTTGGCAGCTGTTCAGATGTGTTCACTTGTAGGGATATTAATTATATGAAATTTAAAATCTGCTTTATGCTCACTGCCTTAGTTAGCACAGACTTTGTCATTTCATTCACATTTAGCAGCATTTAAGTTGTGAAATTCTGTTGCAGTGACCGAAAGGTCAAAGCTAGTGTAGTATTTAAGAAACTGGTTTCTACGTCTGCATAAACACTATATTTATTATGAAAGTCTGTTCTTCTGTAATGTAAAGAAGTTAAGTTATTGAAACAAGCAATAAAAATACAGGTGATTTTTAATAGACATGGAGGTTGCATTTCTAAAAATTATTGTGTATATATATATATAAAAATGCATGTGGATTTTCTGAGTGATACACCACGAGAGGCCTTAATTTGTAGTCTCCAAAGTCAATGTGGGGTGATTCAGATAAACTGCATGCACAATTCAGTAGGCCATCATGGCAGCAATTACCATGACCACAGATATGATATTGATGCTCCTCGTGGTACTGAAGTGAAACTGTGTGTAGTGAAAGCATGTATAATGAGAGTCACCTGTAGTTGTCATTGTGCTATGAAGATAGAAATAAATTGTGCAAATGTTCTCATACTTTCCGTATGTGTTGGGACCGTACTTTTTACTACTGTATCCCATTGCCTCTATGGTACTGCACTTATCATCGGTACCAATGTGTGAGATTTCAGGTTTTCGTAGGAACAACATGACAGCTTTCTGGGATATTGCATCATGTATGTAGTCTGATTGAAGTTGACTGGCATTTCAGAGACATGTAGTGATCACCCCTCTGAAATGTCAGCCATCTTCTGTGAGGTTACAAAATGTCTGATTTGCAAGAAACTAAAATTCTTACACTTATTTGGTGTGACAGATTTGCATTGTTAGTCTTCATGCACCAAAATGTAACTATTTGTATTTCTTTGTGGAATAACCTTTCTGGCATGTCATCGCACTGTTTTATGTTGTTAAACCAAATATATCTGATTATGCAAATGTGTTTATATGCCCTTCTGTGTGATGCTCTCAAAAAGGACTAGCAGTTTTGTTATATTACTAATATGTTTGTGAGGTGTTTTTTTAATGATACCTTGAATTTTCTATAATGGCCAAAGATGATACAATTTGATTTTTGCATGCTTGTTATTTGATTTTAATCACAGGAAAGAAATTAATTTTTGTTGGGTATCATTTACTTGTTTCTTTAAGTTTATGAATAGTGTATGAATTGCAGTGGACATTTGGCATCAGATGGTAAGTTATAACATAATAATGTGGAAGGAAGCATTTATGTTTGGGACAAAGCCATAGTTACCATTCACTTGATTGAGATTTGAACCAGGCATATTTAAAAAATGCAGGAAAGCTATATTTTGGTGAAGTTAGACCTGCAAAAATAGAGTGGGGCTGCTGGTATTGGAACATTGTAGTGAGAGGACAAATGAGATGCATCCACAAGTTCATAAAATAGGACAAAATAATTAATGGGCTGTCAAGAAACAAGGAGTGTGATTTGTGCTAAGGCCTGTCATTTGACTGCAGCCCCACAGCAACTGCATAGGAACACTTGGTTGGTCTTTGAGTAAAGCCGAAGTTCATTAGTGTGAGAGGTGGTTTATACTCTAACGCTAGTGTAACATGCCCCACAATGTCTTAAATTGTAACAAATTCAGATCATTTCCATGTTCGTGCTGCCATCGTGTGGATGAGCTAAAAATAATTTTGTTCGGTGGTCGTAACTCATAACTAAAGTCATCCATTTTCGCTCAACATATAGATGGTCAGATTCAAATATGGCGTCTGGTTACAATCACAGTGGAGGTATTTCTGGCAGGGTTGGTAGCGAACAAGCAGGTGAAGAATCATCGGAAAGCGATGGTGAAGCTGAACCGGACAAATCGTTTCGGCGCAGATTATCAACGAGTGGTGAGATCAAGCGTGCTGTAAGTTTTGTTTGTAGAATTTGTATTGATCATTATCGTGCCGGTTCTGTGTTGATGGAGCGAAAGAGGCGTGGTCTTTGTTTACACACACCAGAGTTCCACTTCTATTTGTCGACTCAGCGTTTATGTTTTGCAACCTACCTTTGGTTGCATGCATTTTCTGTTTTGTATCACAAAACATTCGATAAATTATTAATTTGTGTAATATTTCGTACGTAACAAATTTCGTTCTTGGTTGTGTATAACGAGTTTGTAATGCTGTAATTTATTATTGTGTTGGTCGTTATTGAAAGTCTGTTTTGAGTATAACCTTAAAATCGGTTTAGTTACAGAGCTAACATTCCAGATCTCTAATTGTGGTCTGCAAGGTTATGATGCTGGATAGTGTAAGCCATTTGACGTGAGGTGTGAAATCCACAGAGATGTAGGTCACTGACATACTTTTTTATTAATGATGTCACGAGATTATGCCTGTGCCGAATGGGAAGAGGGGAATGATATTGACAGAGGGAAGACGAATGACAGATGAAAAACCAGTCCCAGTGCCTCGGTGGTGAGAAGTTGGTGACTAAGTGCCTGAGCCAAGGCTTTGAGACACAAAATGAGAATACATAAAAGCAGTTTTTAGATTTTAGAACGTGAATATCTAAAAGGGGTCAGTATTTATGTGGAAATGATTAAGATGTTAATGATTTTTTTGTAAAAATGGATGGTACACATATTAATCGTAAAATATTAATCCCGTAACAAGATACATGGAAGGGATAAAATTTATGTTTGCTAAGACATGCTATTTATATTTTATATATTGAATATAGAATTAATATACGAACTTTAAAATGTAATAGTTTTGGGGCACACATAATAACATGCACAGCTTGTGTGACATTGAAGATGATATAAAATGGACTGAAATATGAAGGGTAAAATGCTGGTTCTAGGTTTTGATCTGGAGCTAATCTCCATCTAGAAACCTAAGGATATGCTGTACTGTGATGACACAGAAGTCTCGACATATGTTGCAAAATCCATTTCACACAACTTCATTTTGCTGTGAATTGTGGTCTTTGGGTTATGACACTTGTAGTTTTGTGGTTGGTTACCTGTGGTTTTGACTAATCCTTGTTTCCACTACCCTGAAAGTTAATGACGGCAGGCTTTTTGTGTTCACAGTTTAAAGAAAAAACATATGACAATTGAAACAAATTTCTGAACACATTAAAGTAATAATCAGGGAGTTAAAAAATGTTTCCAAGTGGTTTTACTTCGAGTCCAGATGCTTTCGATGTTAAAGACTCAATTCGTGGGAAATTTCGTGCCACGTAGTCTACGTGAAACACAAAGTTGGTAAAAATCTTCTTTAACCACAGTTAGTAATTCAGGATAAGTTCAGAATGTCTTGTGAGGGAGAATCGATAAAAGGTGTTGCTAAAACACGTGGGCAGTTTTCGACACCCTTGTATGAAACCGAAACACTGAGCTTGGAAAATAACATTTGCAGCAGATTCAGATAAGCGAAACGGAATTTCCATGAGTAATCGACTTCTGTCAGTAAGGCCTGTCTGTTGCTGCTTCAGAGTATTTTGGTGGTCATGACAACAACCGCATTTTGGAGCGATGGTGACAGGAATACTGGAATCTGTAACCGTTTCCTGGCAACGGGTTGCAGGTTGCGAATCTGAGGTATTGGCTAGACGAAAGATGTTTCTTTGCCTGATGGGTTCATTCCAACCAAGTACCGTCACTCAAAAAAAATGTTACTCGTGCCTTCTAGGTCATCATCGTTGTCCAATTTGATCTCTGGAATCATTACGCAGTGGTGTTCGCCTTCAAATGGCATCGCCCCACCGTCGTGTGGTTAAGAGTGCCTCTAGACATCGCTGGTATGAGTTCTGACCACCTCAGCCTTGCTACGTTTGGAGTTAAAGAGCTGACAACAACGCTGTATTCTTACGGCCGTGCTGAGGCTTTCTACGTCACGCAAGGGGTTCCAGGGATCGTTAAATTCCCGACGGTACTTTGTAATATGGGAGATGTGAGCACGTGCTACGTCATATGGTTATGCAATCAAAAGGTTTCCCACTCCGCTACGTTTGTTTCCATACAGAGAATTTTTCATGGTGGATATCCTACTGCCGACGAACCTGAAAAGCTTGTTACGACTTCGTTATGTAACGAGCGAAACAAGGAATTTCCAGTCTCGACGTGGGGCAACAAAGTAGAGTGGATGCATGCCAGCAGCAATTCTGCGGGCGTTCTGTAAGAAGGGCTTAAGTAAGAACTGCATTTTACTTGAATCCTTCTTACCGATCACCAAAGATTTTATCTGTAAATAGTCTTATGTCTTACGTAATGCTGAGATCTGGGGTAGGTTATTCAGTGTAGTGTCTTGACTACGGGCTGGATGACCGAGGTTCGATCTCCGGCATGGTCAAAGGATTTTTCTTCTAGTCTCTGTGTCCAGACCGGCTGTGGGGTCCACTCAAATTCCTTAAACAGTGTTTGGGGGGGGGGCATTCTTTCCCCTGGGGCAAAACGCCGCCGGGGTGTAACGCTGATAACTTCCCCTATCCGGTGCAGAGGTCAGGAATAAATAGGACCTATACGTACCCCCGCAGCACCGCCATGGCATTTAGTGGGACAGTTTTTCTTCACATACGCCCTGATGACAGAGGCAGTATGACCTCTGAAACGTTGGTTAACGTCGACCAGACTACACAGCGCAACAACCCAGAAGACAGAAATCTTCATACTCACCGCCCTGATGACGGAGGCAGTATGACCTCTGAAACGTTGGTTAACGTCGACCAGACTACACAGCGCAACAACCCAGAAGACAGAAATCTTCATACTCACCGCCCTGATGACGGAGGCAGTATGACCTCTGAAACGTTGGTTAACGTCGACCAGACTACACAGCGCAACAACCCAGAAGACAGAAATCTTCATACTCACCGCCCTGATGACGGAGGCAGTATGACCTCTGAAACGTTGGTTAACGTCGACCAGACTACACAGCGCAACAACCCAGAAGACAGAAATCTTCATACTCACCGCCCTGATGACGGAGGCAGTATGACCTCTGAAACGTTGGTTAACGTCGACCAGACTACACAGCGCAACAACCCAGAAGACAGAAATCTTCATACTCACCGCCCTGATGACGGAGGCAGTATGACCTCTGAAACGTTGGTTAACGTCGACCAGACTACACAGCGCAACAACCCAGAAGACGGAAATCTTCATACTCACCGCTGTGAGAACCTCAAGTCTTACAAGGCAGAAATTTACTTTGCTTTATCTCGTTTTAGTTGAAGTTAGAACAGCACAAACAACTCTGTCATTTTCCTTTTTATGTTTCGTATTTTTATTCGGTTTTTATTTAACGGTCATTTCCTGATATTTTTTCTTGCTTGCCCAATTCTGCGTATTCATGCGACACCCGGTATATACATGTTGTAGGCGGCGACCAAGGAAGGCTTCCTGATGAAGGAAACATGGTCGTTCCAGCGCTGGAGACGTCGTTACTTCAGAGTCAGGAAGGACAACCGCTACCACGGAAAGGGCACCAAGGTAAGACGATCTTCATAATATGTAGGGCAACTGTTCGCCAAATATTATATATCAGAGTGATCACATCGAGCAGGGCGTGGGATGTGTAAGCGATGAGGTGTTGCAGGGCTTCAGTTCCTACGCGTGAAGGATGGAGTTCATAGGCTTAGATGAGAGGATAATATTAAAATTGATTTTTAGTAGGTTGGAAATGTACGAGAGATCTAACCTAGTAAACAAACGCGGTCATGAATTCTATCCCGTACGACCCAAAATCACTTACCAGCATTGCCATGGCAACGGTTATAACAGCACGCCCATTCATAAATACGTCCCTTGAGGCCGAAAATTATCATCAAACAATACTTGCTTGTTATAGAAGTAATATCAGCTCACTGGGATATTCGCTTCATGCCGTCATTTGCCTCAACGTTCCACAAAATGAAAACCCTTTTTAATATGTCCTATACTTTTAACGCTGGCCTTGTAATCCTGGGGACTCGGGTTCGATTCCCGGCGGTGCCCGAATTTATAACTTGTGTTGGGCAAGGCCGTGGTCTAGGCAACACGGAGTTTTCCTCCGTGGCATCCCAACAATTACTCCATTCACACACAGAAGAAGGCAATGGCAAACCACTTCTGGATCATCTGCCAAGAACGCATATGAACAGGTCCCAGTCCGAGAAAAGGAGGGAAGGATCCTGTTCATATGGACCTGGCGTCAGACAGAACACTAAATAATAAAAAATAAATTAGTAATGAACCAAAGGAAGAAATAAAGAAAACATTATTTCTTGAAGAACTGAAGACGATCTATGGAACAGGACAATCCTTTGTCAAAAATGAGGGGTGACCTTACTGGACATGGGCACTCAGCCTATTCCTGTTCCAACCACGTAGATCATTGTGAAAACGCGTAGTGTATGCTAATTACTCCCTTCACACACAGAAGAAGGCAATGGCAACCCACTTCTGGATCATCTGCCAAGAACGTATATGAACAGGTCCCAGTCCGAGAAAAGGATGGAAGGATCCTGTTCATATGGACCTGTCCTCAGACAGAACACTAAATAATAAAAATAATACTTTTAAGGAATAAGACTCATTACTTCTGTTTCTGTTCTTAGACGTCTTGAGACTGCATTGATTCGATGCAAATGTGTGTTATGTGACGCAGAATTTGTGGTTATTAGTCAGAGTTGACTTTTCACAGTACAAGTTTCTTCAAATTTTCCAAACACAATTTCGTGTTAACATTAAAAGTAGGATAATCGCAATGTAACGTAAATTAAGGCGCGTATATGAAAGTTCTTACCGATATTTCACAACTTTGCATGTGGAACTAGTACATTCACTTTTTAACTTCGGCACGACATTGAGGTGGATCAGCTTCACGTTTCGGGTGACTTACTTCAGGGAGACAGATCGCGATACCCAATTGATTTGAAGCTGGGTGAACCACGGTCAAATTTCAATCGTTTAACTTTCTTAAAAATTTACGAAATTCCAGAAGCGTCTAGTCTCGTCTTCATTACGAAGTAATGGTTTCTTGAAAGGGATTTTTGTTTTAAAGTTGTTGTTTGCATAGAAACGGAGCTCAGAGTAAGTTCATTTTTTATATTTACTATCCTTATTGTTTCAATTACGTCCAAAAATCCAGAAAGACAGCGAAATACATTCGTTATTATTGTTATTGGTATAACACTTGAGTTGCTAGGATACTACAAATCATATGCCGCGATGTTGACGAATGGCCAGGGGTGTCCAAAAGTAAAACTGAGGTTTAATTTAAAGTTACACTGTTCGTGTTATATGTTAGTTTCGTCATCTTTTGCAACTCGTGAAACTCTCATTTGCAACCAGGACGACATTAACATACATTTGTAACATTAAAGCGTAAGTGTAAATAAAATGGTAGCTCTACTTTTTGGCAGGTCTGTATTTCTGTGAAAACGTAGCTAACGAACGATGCATCCTAGGAAAAAAAATATATGAAACGAGAAAAGCAGACTTTTTTCGCAAGACTGGTCACAATAAATTAGTAAGAAGGAGTTTTGTTTCTTAAAAAAATATATATATGAAATTTAAAGTCTGCCTTGTAAGGGTAAGCTACTCGGTGTCTAAAAAGTGGGATCTGTTCCTAGGGTGAATGATAAGGTACCCGGTACATATGTAAAACTGCCGCGAAATAGGATGGCACTTCGTGGTAACCTTCAGGGTGATGGGTGACAATTTTCCTTAGCGAGTCGAACCCAGTACTACGGTCAGATCGTCGGTTCTTGGCGTTACATTTATATGATCTTAGAAACATACTTCTTCTATAGTAATTATTACATTTAATGTGTAATTTTATATCTTTCAAATATTTTATTTTGTTTTAAAATCGAGGGTTTGTTTTCGAAGTTAATATGTTCAAGTTTAAAAAAAAATAGAACAAAGCTGATAATGCTCGTACAGACGTACAATTCTAATGGCACGAAATCGAGTTTAGTGTTGTTGCAACATTCAGAACATTAGCGTCGAGTCCATGAAACATGTGGTCTAGCGGTTAGAACGCTGGCTTCACACACAGAAGAAGGCAATGGCAAACCACTTCTGGATCATCTGCCAAGAACGTATATGAACAGGTCCCAGTCCGAGAAAAGGATGGAAGGATGAACGTATATGAACAGGTCCCAGTCCGAGAAAAGGATGGAAGGATGAACGTATATGAACAGGTCCCAGTCCGAGAAAAGGATGGAAGGATGAACGTATATGAACAGGTCCCAGTCCGAGAAAAGGATGGAAGGATGAACGTATATGAACAGGTCCCAGTCCGAGAAAAGGATGGAAGGATGAACGTATATGAACAGGTCCCAGTCCGAGAAAAGGATGGAAGGATGAACGTATATGAACAGGTCCCAGTCCGAGAAAAGGATGGAAGGATGAACGTATATGAACAGGTCCCAGTCCGAGAAAAGGATGGAAGGATGAACGTATATGAACAGGTCCCAGTCCGAGAAAAGGATGGAAGGATGAACGTATATGAACAGGTCCCAGTCCGAGAAAAGGATGGAAGGATGAACGTATATGAACAGGTCCCAGTCCGAGAAAAGGATGGAAGGATGAACGTATATGAACAGGTCCCAGTCCGAGAAAAGGATGGAAGGATGAACGTATATGAACAGGTCCCAGTCCGAGAAAAGGATGGAAGGATGAACGTATATGAACAGGTCCCAGTCCGAGAAAAGGATGGAAGGATGAACGTATATGAACAGGTCCCAGTCCGAGAAAAGGATGGAAGGATGAACGTATATGAACAGGTCCCAGTCCGAGAAAAGGATGGAAGGATGAACGTATATGAACAGGTCCCAGTCCGAGAAAAGGATGGAAGGATGAACGTATATGAACAGGTCCCAGTCCGAGAAAAGGATGGAAGGATGAACGTATATGAACAGGTCCCAGTCCGAGAAAAGGATGGAAGGATGAACGTATATGAACAGGTCCCAGTCCGAGAAAAGGATGGAAGGATGAACGTATATGAACAGGTCCCAGTCCGAGAAAAGGATGGAAGGATGAACGTATATGAACAGGTCCCAGTCCGAGAAAAGGATGGAAGGATGAACGTATATGAACAGGTCCCAGTCCGAGAAAAGGATGGAAGGATGAACGTATATGAACAGGTCCCAGTCCGAGAAAAGGATGGAAGGATGAACGTATATGAACAGGTCCCAGTCCGAGAAAAGGATGGAAGGATGAACGTATATGAACAGGTCCCAGTCCGAGAAAAGGATGGAAGGATGAACGTATATGAACAGGTCCCAGTCCGAGAAAAGGATGGAAGGATGAACGTATATGAACAGGTCCCAGTCCGAGAAAAGGATGGAAGGATGAACGTATATGAACAGGTCCCAGTCCGAGAAAAGGATGGAAGGATGAACGTATATGAACAGGTCCCAGTCCGAGAAAAGGATGGAAGGATGAACGTATATGAACAGGTCCCAGTCCGAGAAAAGGATGGAAGGATGAACGTATATGAACAGGTCCCAGTCCGAGAAAAGGATGGAAGGATGAACGTATATGAACAGGTCCCAGTCCGAGAAAAGGATGGAAGGATGAACGTATATGAACAGGTCCCAGTCCGAGAAAAGGATGGAAGGATGAACGTATATGAACAGGTCCCAGTCCGAGAAAAGGATGGAAGGATGAACGTATATGAACAGGTCCCAGTCCGAGAAAAGGATGGAAGGATGAACGTATATGAACAGGTCCCAGTCCGAGAAAAGGATGGAAGGATGAACGTATATGAACAGGTCCCAGTCCGAGAAAAGGATGGAAGGATGAACGTATATGAACAGGTCCCAGTCCGAGAAAAGGATGGAAGGATGAACGTATATGAACAGGTCCCAGTCCGAGAAAAGGATGGAAGGATGAACGTATATGAACAGGTCCCAGTCCGAGAAAAGGATGGAAGGATGAACGTATATGAACAGGTCCCAGTCCGAGAAAAGGATGGAAGGATGAACGTATATGAACAGGTCCCAGTCCGAGAAAAGGATGGAAGGATGAACGTATATGAACAGGTCCCAGTCCGAGAAAAGGATGGAAGGATGAACGTATATGAACAGGTCCCAGTCCGAGAAAAGGATGGAAGGATGAACGTATATGAACAGGTCCCAGTCCGAGAAAAGGATGGAAGGATGAACGTATATGAACAGGTCCCAGTCCGAGAAAAGGATGGAAGGATGAACGTATATGAACAGGTCCCAGTCCGAGAAAAGGATGGAAGGATGAACGTATATGAACAGGTCCCAGTCCGAGAAAAGGATGGAAGGATGAACGTATATGAACAGGTCCCAGTCCGAGAAAAGGATGGAAGGATGAACGTATATGAACAGGTCCCAGTCCGAGAAAAGGATGGAAGGATGAACGTATATGAACAGGTCCCAGTCCGAGAAAAGGATGGAAGGATGAACGTATATGAACAGGTCCCAGTCCGAGAAAAGGATGGAAGGATGAACGTATATGAACAGGTCCCAGTC